CTTCCCAAACTTGGATGATCAACCCAAATCTCTGTCCCTAGATCTTGAATCGTACCTCGGGTTCTCCTATTTTGAACGTGAATCCCTTCCTGCTGGTCCCATGTATGGTTCGTACCGGTTCTTACCGGACCTTTTTTCAGTTTCTGATCGCCTCGAACTTACTCTTTCATCTCCCCGTGACTGAGTGATAGTATCTTCTTCTATCCGCAGCTTCGCGCTACACCTGTTATAAACATTATTAAAAGTTGTTGCAGGGAATTCTCGTAAGCTTTATCTAAGTCTTCTCGTGGCTTCTGAGCTCTTCTCATTTAAATTACTTGCAAATGACATAGCCGCCCAATTGTCTGGTACGCGTGGTAGCATCATTCTTTTATGTTGGAATTTATCTACGAATTCCCTGAGTAACTCCGTATCTCCTTGTTTTATTTTGAAGATGTCTTCCATCCTCTTCTCAACTTTCTGAGCTCCCGAGTGTGCTTTTATAAATGAATCTGCAAGCTCAGCAAAAGAATCAATAGAGTTTTCAGGTAAAAGAGAATACCATATTAGTGCTCCCTTTGTGAGTGTTTCACCGAATTTTTTGACCAGCACTGATTTAATCTCTTTCTTAGTCAAATCATTGCCTTTCACGCCTGTTGTAAACGCGGTTGCATGATCTCGTCGATCGGTAGTCCCATCATACTTCGGGATATCAGGCATCTTGAACTTTTTTGGAATAGGCAAAGAAGCGGCAATTGGTTTCCAAGGTTGTTGAGAATATTTCTCCAGTCCACTCATTTGATTATAGGTGGAACACCAGGTATCTGCTCTATGCGATCGTTCTGCTCTTTGAGTTGTTTCTGCAAAGTTAGTACTAAACTTTGTAAATCAGAACTAATTGGAATACCTGACCTTCCATCACGAGATTCGCTGGGAGTTCCTCCACTGCCTGAATTGGCGAGTCCCAAGCGTGGATTTTCTATGGTGGCGGTGTTATTCGGAGGAGGAGTCGGTGGTACAGTTGGAAACCACTAACAAAAGCCTGAAGAGCATTGTTGACCTGTTTTGCGATCAATTGCTTGAATACTGCATCAATAGCTTGATTATCCTCATGTTGGTCATTCACATGTGATTCAGATCTGTCAGGTGTCCCTTCTCGGGATTGTCGAGGGGAATTATCGATTTTGCTGGTTCAACTGGTGTTGCTGATTTTGTTGGTTGTCGTCGTTAGCATTCGACATGATTTTTTGATAGGAAAAAGGATTTGGAAAGTAAATGTATTATCAGATTCCCGGTAACGGAACCAATTTGTTTAACCAAAAAATAGATATTTCGGTCAAAGCCTATTTTAAAAGTACTCGGGCTACTGATAATCAAGGAAATTGATATTCTTGCAGTAAGAAAGAAATTTAGAACAACAAAGTAATCAATAGAAAGCAAAAGTAAATAATTGTATTTCAATAATAATCAGAACGTGTCCATACAAATGTCCTTCCTTTTCCTTACATAGTCATGGAGTTATGGACGTCCTGAATTTACTTGTAAAATTTGAAATTCCATGATAGTGATTATTTTTCAATTAAAATTCATAAGCGGTTGAAAAGTGGCTATTTATTAAATTTTACTTGACCAGACGCCCAGAGATCATGGGCCGAATTCACAACCAGAACGATATGGGAGAAATTCAAAAATAGCCAGATTTACCACTGGTCGTTGAAAAATAGCCAAGTTTCAAAAGTCATCGAAATTTAGCCACTTTAAATCTGAGCGAAAACACTGTTCAAAATCCGGAAAAATACGCCCGCAAATTTTACGGGAGTTCCAGCGTAAGTATGCTTGAACTCCAGTAAATTTTACGGGAGTTCCAGGATAACTATGCTGGAACTCCCGCAAATTTTACGGGAGTTCCCAAATATAATTGTCCAGTATAATATACTGGAGTTTGGAGCACTGGTGCTCCAGTCTCCCGCAAATTTTACAGGAGTTAGCAAAGTATACCGGTCCAGCATAATATGCTGGAGTTCGTACACAAATGCACCAGAACTCCCGTATATTATACTGGACTGGTCCCTGTTGCAGCAAAATAAAGGCTATTTTTCATTGACTTGATAAACGCTGGCTATTTTTCATTGACCAGTGTGAAAACTGGCTATACCATGATATTTTAACGAACGATATGCCTATTTTCAGACGTCTGCATATTTGAGACTTAACCAAAAGGGGTAGACCAGTATTTTCTAGTGAAAATAGCAGGGGCTAGCCAGTTTTCGGACTGGTAATTGAAAATTAGCTACCCTTCGTAAATTCATTGAAAAATAGCTATTATTTTACTGCAACGCGCAAAAGTTCAACATAATATACTGAAAATTGGTGCACATGTGTATGAACTTCCAACATATTATGCTGGAACTCCAGCATAATATACTGGAGATTGGAGTACATGTGTATAAACTTCCAGTATATTATGTTGGAACTCCAGTATATTATACTAGAACTCCAGTATCACATGTAAAAAATTTGAACTCCAGTATATTATGCTGGAATATTTTTCGTATTTTGAACAGTGTATTCGTTCAAATTTATCTTTACATGAAAAGTGACTAAATTTTGATTACTTTTGAAACTATAGCTATTTTTGAATGACCACTTGTAAATCTGACTATTTTCGAATTTCACCCTATTTTTTATGATCTAAACTTGGAGCTGACAAGAACCAAAAAAGGCCTTTGAAGTAATCTAACTCTTCAAAAGTTTAACCTATAGGTCCACTATCAAAAGAATTTGCCTTTTGATTTATATTTATATGACCAGTGTTGGAATTATTCATAATGCAAAATCAAATATTTCTTTTTGAAATTCCATTTACAATCAATAGCCATGAGTTTTTTATTTTTCAAATATTCTATCTATTTTTAAGTGGCCTCTTGCATGAAGCCTTAAAGCCAAGTGTTGAATGGCTTTGACAAATGGCTATGCAAATCTACCATATGTCTTCATGCATGAAAGACAAGATACACTTGTCAATATTGGAGCCAAATGTCTTCATGCATGGAAGGCAAGATACACTTGTCAATATTGGAGCCAAGTGGACTAACATAATGGGACAAGTGTCAAAAGTCTCTCGACACTTGTCATACATGAAACCTCCTTAATTTCCTATAAATAGGTTATGAATTAGCCATCATAATCACTCAATTCTTAACCAAGAATACATCTAGCTAATCATTCCTTTCTTCCTAGTCTTCTTTGTGAATTATCCGACACATAAAATACCTTCATCTTCTCTTCTTCCTGGGCAACTGTTTTGTGCAAATTCTAAACTTCCAGCCACGAGTGCACGTGTTTGGAGGTGCTGTGGAACCTTGGGGAGCGACCGGCCTTAACGATTTGCACCCAGTCGGGCCGAAATCGCTTTCAAGGCAGTGGCTTGCCACGACACAGTATTTTTGATAAGTTGTAGTCTTCTTTCCTTGTTGTTCTTAGTCAATATTATCTACTGATTTTCCTTACACAGTAATCATATTGATTTGGATTAAAGCAGCAGTTACCTCTTCCATTATCTTACCAATTAACAGTTACTTTTGTTCTTCTTCTTTTTATTTTATTTTAAATATGACAATATGCAGTTGCTTGTTTTTGGTGAAAAAATAAAATAAAGCAGAAGGCTATTTTACTAAATTAATTCTTACAGCACATGATCCCCAGATCCCATTTATGGGATTACACTGGCCACTGGATTTATTGTTGTTGTTGTTGTTGTTGTTATTATTATTATTATTGTTGTAATTCTTACGGCACAGACAAGACCAATAATTTCAAATTAAGCCTAATCCAAACATATCATTTTCTAGAAAACAAGATTGAATAAAACTCAACTCGTTTCTTTTCCACATAATTGGCACCAAAAATAACCAAAAAGGGAAAACCCGGGGCTAGGGGTCACGGGTTGGTAGTAAAGTAGCAGTCATAATCCTAATTATAAAGTGATTATGCATTATTAGTTATGTGGTTGAAATCTTCAGCTTGACGTGACCAGGAAAATTATTTAATGATTATCATATTCTTGAACTATAATTAATATTAATTACTTAGGATATATGAGTTGTGGTTGATGATTGGCTAGATGATTTTAAAGGGTTCCAAATTGGCCTCAAATTTTGAGATAGACGAGAATACATATTAACCAATCAAGACCCAAAAGGAGGGAAGGAATAATTCTTAGTTCAATTTCAGATAAGTGAATAAGAACGATGTCAAGATACCTTCAACAGAAAGCATGATGGGAAAAAAGCAAAAAGGGAAAAATAGAACAGCAATTATCAGTTCATACTCTCCTAATAAAACTTTCTGCTTTTTAGACTTTAAATAGAATCATGAACAAAAGTTTTTGCATTGTAAGTCATGTATATAAAGTTATTAAATAAGAGTATAAGTGCTATGCTTTAATGTTGATAAAATATTTACATAATCAAATTATTAATATAAGTCAATAACAGATAAATTTTTGTGACAAATATTGATTGACAACTTGATGAAAATGGTAACTAACATACTATTATAGGTTAAGCTGCACTAGTCGTGTAACTTATTTTAAAATTGCCAGTGTACATTGGCAGCGCTTCTAACAAAACCAGATCGAATTTGTCGGAACACAATATTTTTGACGCAGTGTATGAGTTATTAGTTTAAACCCTTTAAAAATTATCATATTCAAAGTGGGGCCTAAAGCACCTAACAAAACCAGATCGAATTATTGAAATTCAATTTATTTCTTTATCAAACTACCATTTTGGGTAAATAAAGCATAATTCAGAAGTAACATAAACTCATAAGCTAAAACCTTTTTTTGAGTTTAGTGGTTGAGGTGAATAAAAATAGTAGGTCTAAATTCTAAAAAAAAATATAATTAATTAAAACAGCTAGCTTTGATACTACTCCTTTGCTTCATATTAAAGATATTCTTGCTTAAACGAAAATCTTATCATTTCTCTTCTTTCTCTTCTCGCCAGCTTCCCATGCAATACGTATATATATTATTATCTCAATTACCCATTTTTCCTCATCCTCCATTTGTGATATTTTTCCAAGGAGAAAATATGAATAACTTCTCTAGACTTATTTTCTTGGTCACGGCTTTTATTTATTTATTTCATATTTCATTAGCTTCCATAGTTTCAACAGGAGATTTCAATAAGGATTTTCCCGTGATCACTTGGTCCCCTAGCCATGTAAATACTTCTGCAGATGGCCATACAAGAAGCTTGATATTTGATAAGGAATCTGGTAATTAAAATGCATAATCTTTGCATTTCTAACTTCTCTTTTTGTGGTTAAGAACATAATGTTTTGATAATATTTTTTTTTATATTTCATTTCATTATCTTCAGGTTCAGGGATTGCTTCAAATGATACTTACTTGTTTGGTCAATTCGACATGAAAATTAAGTTGATACCAGGAAATTCCGCAGGCACCGTCGTGGCATTTTATGTATGTATTCAGAAACTAAAATTCTCGTTCTTCATAAATTTTAAACTTTTTTATTAACTTTATTTCCTCTAAAATGTTGATTAATTTGGAACTATATGTAGTTAACTTCGTATCAACCAAATCGTGACGAGGTAGATTTTGAGTTTCTGGGAAATGTTCCTGGGAAGCCTTATACTCTTCAAACGAATGTATATGTCGATGGGTTGGACGACAGAGAACAGAGAATCAATTTGTGGTTTGATCCAACACAAGACTTCCACACTTATTCTATTCTGTGGAATCTTCATCAAATTGTGTAAGCCTTTAATTTTCTTATTACAGTTTTGCATCAAGGTAAATCTAGGATTTAAATTTCTATCAATTCAACCTTAGGTTCTCATTACCGAGCCCAATTCACTTTCTAAATTATGAGTTCAGAAGTTACTATTTATTGAAATTTTAGTAATTTTTGATATATATATATATATATATATATATATATATATATATACACGCACGCTCTGTATCGAAGATATATATAGAAGTTTAATCCATTCATTATAAACTCCATCCATGATCCATCTCTCAGGCATATTTTAACCATTTCAAAGCAAAAAAAAAAAAAAAAAAACTCACACACAAACACACATAAACAATACTTCAGCCCCAAACTAGTTGAAGTTGACTATATAATTAAGGGATCTTTACACAAATAGTCGGCTTGACTGATTACTTTTTATAGCTAGTATACATATATTATACACTAAAAATAACGATTATACACATATTACACATGAATTATACATATATTATACGTTCACTGACTATTTTTAGCTTAAAGGGTTGAATGGACGGCTACTTAAGTTAATCTGTGTGTACATTTCGCTCTATTTCGGATCCATTTCATTCTAATATTAAGGTGAACAAACTCTATGATTTTTGGGCAGGTTTATGGTTGACCGGGTACCTATTAGAACATACAGAAACCATGCAGATAAAGGAGCTAAATATCCTCGTTGGCAACCAATGGGACTCCAAATTAGCATATGGAATGGAGAAACATGGGCAACAGACGGTGGAAAAACAAAAATTGATTGGTCAAAAGCACCATTTGTAGCCTCTTTAGGAAATTACACAATTGATGCTTGTGTTTGGCAAGGAAATGCAAGATTTTGCAGAGGAGAAAGTGAAACTAATTGGTGGAATAAGGAGAAATTCAGCACTTTGACATGGACTCAAAGAAGGTTGTTCAAATGGGTTAGAAAATATCATTTGACATATGATTATTGCATGGATAATCAACGGTTTCAAAATAATCTTCCCATAGAGTGCTCTCTCCCAAAGTATTAATCAGTAACGTCGATTAAAGGTGTCAAATGAATGAATTGGACTAAATTCGAAAGAGTAATATTTTCATGGACTAAATTTAATGCCTCTCGCAACAATGTATGATTGAAAAGAAAAGAATCTTTTCTTTGCACTTTACGTACCCATTTGTTTGTTGAAAGTCCTTTTATGAAAGAATCTTTATCCTTGGAAGTAATTAAAGTGACTATTTTTACTTTTGATATACAAGGTATTAATTAATCTTTATTCCTCTTGCTTTACATTTTGTATTCTAGTTTTATTTATAGGGTGGCTGGATATTGGGTCGGTGATAGTACACCTTTTCCTAGTTCGTGTAATGTTCAATATAATGTTTTTTTCTTCTTCTTAATATCAAGAATGTTTTTTGCTGGCTTCTAATGTGAGAAACATTTTTTTAATGAGTTGACATAGTGGAATTAATTCAACGGACAGTTCGCTGAATTTTTTTGACTAGTCATGCTTTACAGAAAAAAAATAATCATAGAGATAGTGTTGATTCATTTCTTTTCTTTTTAACCCAAAAATGGGTAAAAATTAACACCAAAGTGTCAAAACAGCTTAAGTATTATTTATACATTATTCTGAAACTTTAAATTTCTAGGACCACTGAATATATTAGCTTAAAATAGTTAAATCTCTACCTCATTAAAGAGGTGATTGTGATATTGTTTTTTAATCTTAAAAGGTTAAGAGGATTACTTACTGCAGTTTTTCCTAGAGAAAAGTTTTAATTTCTCAACAAATAATGTTTCAAACAGCTGTCAATGCTGTAAAAGGGCTTAACCATCTCACATATCCATGGAGACGAGTCTTCTAGTTTCTATTCACGGTGTACAAATTATTTATATAATTTTGTCACTTATACAGTAATTACCAGTAAATCTCTATAATTATTAATTGATAACCTGACAAAATAATAACTAACATGTTATTGCAAGTTAAATTGTATACGGACGAAATCGGAGAGCTCGATTTCGAGAACTTGACGGTACCACGGGCTCGAGCTCGGGCGACACGAAGTAAAAATTAGACCTGACTGGAAAATGCATACCTTGAGGGAGAAAATCGGAGACCCGTCATGATCTACCTCGAGGGTAGTACAATTTCGATGACACCCAAGAAAGAGGGGGAATTTTTCAAGGACACGTGGATCATGGTATAAATTATGGGATAAGATTTGTACGAAATAGTACGAGTCCGTACTAGGTCGTTATACAGCTGTACCAATAGAATTCTTTACCATAATTGGGAATGTACCATATTACGGTTTTTCCCTCCTATATAAAGGGGACCCCAATCATTTGTAAACATGATCTCATTCACTGCAATAGAATATTCTACTCTGCTTTTCTCGTTTACCGTGCTCCACAATTATTCTTCCGCTTTATTGTTTTTACTTTATTGTTCATACTTTGTTAGCTCTCAACTCACCTCGAGGCTCCCGAGATAACCGAGCTCGAGGCTCCCGTTGCTCTAACCAATCTTGAAATTTCCGTGGACAACTGGCATACCTTGAATCTAGCCTGCAATCCGTTTGCACTTCTCTTATCAAATTTCTAACGCTGGTTTGGCTTATCAATTCCTCTTACTTAAACCTAATATTACTTGTATATTCACTAGTATTGGAATAAATTACATATCTTTAAAACCACAAATCACCTTTAATTGTTAATCACATTTTTCGAGGTAAACAGTTTGGCGCCCACCGTGGGGCTAAAGATAATAGTGATTATTTTAGTGCTAGTTTTCTGATAATACACGTTATTCTTCATACTTTTTCTTGTCAAAGATTCTTTGATTTCAGGCTAAGATATGTCTGGCTCAGCAAACGCACCCGTGCATGGAAACGACGGTCTCGGATCTCATGAAGAAAATAATGCCACAGCTGCAGGGACCGGTGTGCAACCGCTAAACCCTGGGGTAGCACCAGCGCCAAACCCCATTGATGTTGGTTCACATTGCCGTGAACGTCGATTTGGATACTGATGTCGAAGGAAGTGTACGCGGAGGGGATCAACTTGACGCTCAAAGGACACAGGCTCAAGGAGAAAGAGAAGTAAGTCTACAAGTGATTTTTGAGATGTTGCAAGCATAACAAGTTGCTATCGCCCAGTTACAGAGCCAGCAAAAGACTCCGAGCGTGGCTGGGCCAAAAACCGCTCATCGTGTTGAGCCAACCCCGGAGAGATAAGCAACAACGGCTCGGGAACTGACCCCATCGTCATGAGAATGCTCGAGGAACTCACGAAGAGGATCGAGTCAGGAGAAAAAAGGATTGAGGACAACGACAAAAAGGTCGAAACGTACAATTCGAGGGTCGACAATACCGGGAGCACCTCCGATTTTGAAAGGACTGGACTCGAAGAAGTTCGTGCAAAAACCATTACCCCAGAGTGCGGCTCCGAAGCCCATCCCGAAGAAGTTTCGGATGCCAGACATCCCAAAATACAACGGGACCACTGATCCCAACGAGCACATCACCATATATACTTGTGGCATAAAAGGAAATGATTTGGAAGACGATGAGATTGAGTCCGTTTTGCTAAAAAAGTTTGGGAAACTCTGTCTAAAGGTGCCATGATTTGGTACCATAACTTACCCCCGAACTCTATTGATTCGTTTGCCATGTTGGCAGACTCATTCGTAAAGGCACATGCCGGTGCCATAAAAGTCGCAAAAAGGAAGTCCGATGTATTCAAAATAAAGCAAAGGGAGAATGAGTTGCTGTGGGAATTTGTCTCCCGCTTCCTGTCAGAACGAATGGAGTTACCGCCGGTCTCCGATGATTGTGCCGTACAAGCCTTCACTCAGGGGCTAAATGAACGAAGTTCGATAGCTTCGAAGCAGCTGAAGCAGAACTTAATCGAGTATCCCACCGAGACTTGGGCGGATATGCATAACAGGTACCAATCAAAAATTAGGGTCGAGGTTGACCAGTTGGGAGCCCCCTCGGGCTCAGTTTATCCAAGCAGGTTATTAGCAAAGGAGTCAGGAAATGCAGACAGGGGGTCAAGATCGAATAAGGAAAGATATCAGCCATACGTCGAAGATCGAAGGAGCATTTCAAGGCGTAACATACATCGGAATGATCAAAGAGCAAATTGAGGTCAAAGTTCCCGGGGACTCATGAGCAAAACCGGGTTCGATAGGCACTTAGGACCGGCGGAGGCACCCCGATTATTGGAGTACAACTTCAGCATCGACGCCTCGGGTATCGTCTCAGCCATCGGCAAAATTAGAGATACTAGATGGCCCAAGCCTATACAGACCGATCCTTCTCAGAGGAACCCCAACTTGATGTGCAAGTATCATAGTACTCATGGGCATAGGACCGAGGATTGCAGGCAGCTTAGAGAGGAGGTAACCCGATTGTTGAACGAAGGGCATCTTCGTGAATTTCTCAACGATCGGTCCAAAAACCATTTCTGAGAAAGAGATGCAAACAGGAAGAATGAACTTGAAGAACCTCAACATGTCATTCACATGATCATCGGTGGAGTCGACGTCCCATAGGGACCCATATTCAAACGTACCAAAGTATCCATCACAAATGAGAAGCGGACTCGGGACTACATGCCCGAGGACACCCTCACGTTCAGCGAAGAAGTCGTCGGGGACTTATCTCAGCCTCACAACGATGCACTGGTAATTTCTATCCTTTTAAATAAAGTTCAAGTTGAATGTGTTCTCATGGATCCAGGTAGTTCGGCAAATATAATCAGGTCAAGGGTCGTGGAGCAGCTTGGGTTGCTCGGTCAAATCATACCAACATCTCGAGTCTTGAATGGCTTCAACATGGAAAGTGAAACAACGAAGGGAGAAATCATCCTCCAAGTCAACGTGGCCGGAACCATACAAGATACCAAATTTCATGTCATTGAAGGTGACATGAGGTGTAATGCTTTGCTTGGAAGGCCGTGGATCCATAGCATGAGGGCGATGCCATCGACCCTTCATCAAATGATGAAGTTCCCAACAAAGGATTGCGTGAAAATAGTATATAAAGAGCAGCATGCAACTAAGGAGATGTTTGCAGTACACGACTTGGCACCGATATCAACACCATCCACATCGAAAAAGTCAAAGGACAAACAGGTGGCCAAATAACAATCACAGCCCGTGCCCTCAGTTGAGCCCGAGGGACAGGTGATCAATGAACAGGTGGTCGAGGACGAAGAAGAAGATTTCCTCACCCCCTGAGCCTTCGCTGCCCTTGAGGAATCGGATGCGACGAAGTCCATGGTCGAAGAACTCGGGCAGGCCGTATTGATCGAGCATCTTCTAGAACGAAAGGTATACCTGGGGATGGGGTTAACCCCCGAACTCAGGAAAAAACTTATTCAATTTCTTATCAATAACATCGATTGCTTCGCCTGGTCCCACTTAGATATGACAGGGATCACACCAGAGATAACTATCCATTGACTAAGTGTCGATCCCAGATTTAAACTGGTGAAGCAAAAGAGGAGACCTCAGTCCGAGGTAAAGCATGCATTCATCAAAGAAGAGGTAACCAAACTTCTAAAGATAGGATCCATTAGGGAAGTAAAATATCCTGAATGGCTAGCTAACGTAGTGGTAGTCCCTAAGAGGGGAATAAACTTAGAATGTGTGTAGAGTACAAAGATTTGAACAAAGCATGCCCTAAAGATTCTTTGCCATTGCCCAACATAGATCGTTCGATCGATGCTACGGCCAGCCACGAGATCCTTACTTTTTTCGATGCCTACTCCGGGTACAACCAAATTCAAATGAACCCGGAGGACCAGGAAAAGACTTCGTTCATCACGAAGTATGGTACATATTGTTATAATGTAATGCCCTTCGGACTAAAAAATGCAGGAGCCACATATCAACGCCTAGTTAATAAGATTTTCGAACATCAAATAGGCAAATCCATGGAAGTTTATATTTATGACATGCTAGTTAAGTCCCGGCGCGCAGAGGACCATTTGACCCATTTGCAGGTGACATTCGATATCCTAAGAAAGTACAATATGAAGCTCAACCCCGAGAAATGCGCTTTTGGAGTCGGCTCGGGCAAGTTCTTGGTTTTCATGGTGTCGAACAGGGGTATCGAGATCAAACCCGATACAATCAAAGCCATCGAGGAAATCACCGTAGTGAACAATGTGAAAGTCGTACAACGGCTGACCGGACGGATAGCTGTCCTAGGTCAATTTATCTCGAGGTCATCAGATCGGAGCCATCATTTCTTTTCCCTACTAAAAAAGAAGAACAACTTCGCATGGACTCCGGAGTGCCAACAAGCCTTGGAAGAATTGAAACGGTATCTCTCGAGCCCACCCCTGCTCCATACTCCAAAGGAGAATGGAACACTCTACTTGTATTTAGCCGTGTCCGAGGTGGCGGTA